AATCGATTGAACTCGAAGACATCAAACTGTTAGTTCAGGGGTATGGTGGTAAAGTGACCAGCGCAGTAAGTGGCCGGACAGACTATTTAGTGGTCGGGCGGGATCATGGCGCATCGAAACTGGCAAAAGTACACCTTTGTTCCGTCTGCCATTTGGGCGCCTTTATTCTTTCACACCTTCTGCTTATTTTCTTGGCAATTTCAGGCCAAAGAACTTGGTACAAAGTGCATAAACGAAGACAAACTATTCGCACTGATTCGAGAGTCCCCGTCGCAGCCAGATCCGTATGCGGTCAAATATGAAGTATGCCAATATTCAGGGTTTCAAACGTAGAGCTGCCTAGAAAAAATGTCAGCATTTCGTGATGATATGTATTTCGCGGCCTTATGTTGTTTTGCTCACTATAAATTCAGAAGCGTACATCTTTTAACGCGCGATATGCGTATTACGGAGGACGGTATTTTTTCATGCCTGTAATGAACGATAAACCAGTCGATCTAAAAGACAGTTTTAATGGTGATGTGACACAGCTCGTTCGTTTAGATTTGAAGTTTTTGGAATCGCAGCAGAATAAATCTTATTGTTCTACATAGAGGGAGAAAGTCATTTCAAAATGCCTAAATACTGTCCGTGCTACAAGATAAATTACAAATTCCCAACAACAGCTGTATTTAGGGGCTGTATGCCAACAGGAAATAAGTTTTTTTCAGGAATATGTTTTCACTGTCAAGAACTCGGTCACGGAATTTGTCTGAAACGCACAACCATAAGAAATAATAACAGCAGACTTCATGTACAAAGTGATCCTTAGAAAGTGCCAATAGTATACTATGTGAAACTAACTGCAGCTCTTGTAGCGCTGTATGAGTCGTGAGGACATTTGGGGTTCTTAAGGTTAGGTTGGTGGAAAAATTTGGAACCGTCGTGAACATCCTTGATGAGCATTTCCCATGCCCTGAACTATAATGATGGAGTTAAGGCAGCCGTTGTGTTCATTATCGGCAGAGCTAAATGCAGAATCAAATTATTATAATATTATTATATATCTTTTGATAAGTCACAAACGGGAAGATAACGCATGAAAT